CCCAGGAGCTCCCTGCAAGCCCCCCATGGCTATTCATGCCTTTTGTTTGAAAAAAAAAAAAGGACTGTTTTGGGGAGGTTTGCAGAGTAAAAAAACTTTTTTTTTTCTTTTGAAAAATTCTTTGATTGATGACAATTAGATTGATCAAGTTCTGTGCCAGCAGAAACAAAGTCTTAGATGCTGCAGATTATCAGCAATTTCCTTTTCCAGCACATGGATAAATACACCTGGAAACATCTACCTACGTACTTATCCTCTCTCTCTCCCTACCTACCTACTATATTTCTTTCTCTCTCTCTCTCTCTCCTTCCCTCCCTATCTACCTACTTACCTACCTACTCTCTCTCTCTCCCTACCTATCTATTGTATTTCTCTCTCTATCCCTCTACCTACCTACCTACGCATACACACTTACTCTCTCCCTACCTACCTACTGTATTTCTCTATCTCTCTCTATTTCTCTCTTCCTCTCTCTATCCCTTTATCTACCTACCTACTTATCCTCTTTCTCTCCCTATCTATCTACTGTATTTCTCTCTTTCTCTCCCTCTGTATTCCTCTATCTACCTACCTACTTTTTTAAAAATTTGCCTCTTCAAAACCTTGGTGCGTCTTATACTCCGAAAAATACGGTAAATCAATTCCTTTGGCTCTTCCATCTTCCATATTTTTTGTTAACTTCACACAACCCCCCCCCCCCAAAACAAACTCAAATTCTGGAAAAACTAAAATACATGTATCTGACATAATCTTCATTTCAAGCCAATCACTGATTTAGATATACTATAATAAACTTGTTTTATTCATAATATTATCATGTTTGTCTAAATACATAATTATTTTTTACAATTTATAAGTATAATTCAGAAAAGAATTTACTACTAGAATTTACTTTGAAATAGTTTAAAAACTTTTTTTGCACTCCTGTCCGTGTGTGCATATATGTGTGTGTGCATATACTTTTTATGCCTTGTGAAGCCTACAGAAAAGAAGATCCACAGGCATTTGAGATTTAAAAAAATCAGAAACATAAAGGCCACATCCAAATCAGGCATAGAATTCTTCTCTAATGAAAGCAACACTGCCATGATAGAGTTTTGCCCTTGAGGGCTAAACTGCCCTGCTGGTGCTCTCTCTCCATTTATTAACTACAAGAAAATATTTCATTTGTGAACAGTGTTTTAAAACTATTTCAACTTTAGAAGGAAAAAAATAGTGGGGGACATTTCCCATTCTGAATTTTTAGGTTTTTCTTTTCTGAGCCTTCAAATCTTGGTTACTCTACAACTGATTACCTACCATTAATTATGGTAATTATTTTTGTACTTCTACTGTATATATCTCATTTTTCTTAATTATTTATGCTTTTCCTGTCAAATCATATATTTATGGTCACTTCGTGCATCTGATTGTATGGAACTACACCATTATGTTATGCTAACAAGAGGCTGAAATATTAATAATGCAAATCTTGTTCCTACTGTTTTCCCCAAAATAAGACCTCCCCAGATAATAAGCCCAATTGGGCTTTTGAGCACATGCACTAAAATAAGCCCTGCCTGAAAATATTGCAACACAGAAGCAGCCATGAGGTGACCACGGTCGCCGCCTCCTGGATCTCAAAAATAATAAGACCTTCCCGAAAATAAGGCCAAGCGCTTATTTCCAGGGTCAAAAGAAAATAAGACCCTGTCTTATTTTCAGGAAAACACGGTATATAGCTACTAATCCTTCTCAGTAAGAAAAGCTTTTGTATCATTCCATTATAATTATGATTGGATGGTCACTTAAATTATGTAGTTACCTCTATGCTAGAGTTTTGTAATTATAATAATAGCAAAGGCACAAATAGAAAATATATAATGGAAAATATAATTTGGTAGATGGTGTAATGAAGCCCAAAGGTGTTCCAAGAACTCTTGGTTTCATTGTTGTCATTAGTTATATTTAGTCAGGCTTCCGTTGTAACACAGGATTTTATAGCAGCTTTTTGGCTGATAATATCAAATTGACTCATGGTTATTTTTTACTAGTGAACGAAATGGCATATTTTGGATATATCAGATAAACAAAAAGAAAGAGAAGCATATTTACTTATCATGTTTAATCTTATCATGTTTTTAAACATATAACAATAAAAAATATTTCCTTTTTGGGAGTATAAAAAAAGAAGTTATTAGTTTAGTTTTTGATTTCATAAGTTGCTTCTTTTCATTTAAGCCAATACTTCCCTAATGTAGGTAAATTATTCCAATTGGGTAAAAGTGGTTTTATGAATCCATTACCTATCACAAGAGTGTCATTTAAATTAACTTAAAGATCGCCATGTATATTAAAATATATTTGAAAATCCCTAACAGTATTCCTGTTAAGATAAAATCTATGAAATTACCAATGGTAATTTGTAGAAATGACATAAAAATCTTTAAGTTACCACCATTTGTTTAGCAATCAAAGTTATGACAGTACTTAAGGAAGGAGCTTACAATTAGTCCTTGGAAGTTTGAGAAGACTTTCTAATAAGCAGTTTTGGATAACAGAGGAAAAGGTTGAGAACCACAGCCTTAGGCTGACAAAAGCCACAATGCAGGGAATCCTCAACTTATGACCACAGCTAAGCCAAAAATTTCTGAAGCAATATAGTTGTTAAGTGAGCTTTGCCCCATTTTATGACCTTTCTTGCCACAGTTGTTAAGTGAATCACCACAGATGGTAAATTAGTAACATGGTTGTTAAGTAAATTTGGCTTCCCCACTGACTTTCCTATTCAGAAGATCCCAAAAGGTGATTTCATGACCATGAGATACTGCAACCATCATAAATACATGCCAGTTGCCAAGTATCCAAACTTTGATCATGTGACCATGGGAATTTCTGACACATTGTTTTAGTGCCACAATAATCCAAAACCACTTTAATGAAAGACTGCAGAAGCACCAGGAATTGATCTGCCAGGTCTTCTCCAAACCTAATTATAGACATAGCAGTTCCTTATTTTTCAGGGTTCCAAACTGAAGGACAAAAGAATTACAACACTCTAACGTACGATAATATAATAGACATTACCCCACACTCCAAAGTCTATTACTGTACGATGAACAAAATTACAATATAGAATGTGTATTGGAAGGGATGTTATAGGCCAACTAGTCAAACCCTCCATTCTGTGCAGAAATCTAAAAGTACCGTATTTTTTGGAGTATAAGACGCACCCTTTTCCCTGAAAAAAGAGGCTGAAAATCTGGGTGCATCTTATACACTGAATACAGCATTTTTGCCTCCTGAAACCCCATCCCCTTCACCATAATGGCCGTGCATAGCTTTTAGGAGGCTTTCATAGAACAAATTAATTGAGTGATGAATATTTTGTTATTCATTTTGTTTGTAGGTCTGCTTTATTCTAAATGTGGATGAGCAGTAGCAGATTAAAAAGATAAACTAAAATAAAACCAAATATATGCAAAGTCCTGTCTGCTAATAATGACTACCGTATTTTTCAGAGTATAAGACGCACCATTCAGCCTCAAAAAAGAGGCTGAAAATCTGGGTGCGTCTTATACACTAAGTACAGCATTTTTTTGCCTCCCGAAACCCCTCCCCTTTACCAAAAAGGCTGTTCATAGCCTCTAGGAAGCTTTTAGAGTCTCTAGGAAGCTTTTTAAAAAATGGCCCGTTTTTTGCTTAATTTTATCCCCCAGCCCCCAGGAGCACTCTATAAGCTTCCTAAAAACTATCCATGCCCTCTTTTTTTTTACAAAAAACTGACCCGTTTTTATGAAAAACTGTCCGGTTTTTTGCTCTTTTTGCCCCCCCCCCGCCAGCACTCTGCAAGCCCCCTAAACGCTATTCATCCCATTTTTCGGGGGGGGGGGGTGGGGTATGGACCTATTTTTGTGAAAAATGGGGCATTTTGGGGAGGATTGCAGAGTGCAAAAACTTTTTTTTTAATTTGCCTCTTCAAAACCTTGCGTCTTATCCTCCGGTGCTTCTTATATTCTGAAAAATATGGTAGACTATATTTGAGTTTAAATATAGATTATTCACCCTAACCTAAACAATATATGAGAGTATACAGAGTTTATTCAGTTTTAGCAACCCAAGTATGCATGTCTAATTGCAACCTAGAACATACTTGCAACTTGGGTTTTAGCAGGTATAAGAACTAGCCAAAAATCAGATCCTAGGTTTCCAAAATTTAAATAGAGATACTTTTTGCAGACAATATCTTCATATTCATCCCATCCACCCAAATAAGCTCTTGTACATATATTCATGATTTATTAAAGAACAGCTAAATGTTATTTGGGTTAGTTTGAAATAGAACTATTTCGAGTATATGACATTACTCACTGATCCAGTGCTCTATAATAAATGTCAAGATCCTTGTTTGCCAGTTCTGTGGTCCTCATAACTATCATCATTTCTCTATATTTCTCTTCAGCATCTTTAAACTGTTGTTCTTTCAGCTCTCTTTTATATCTCAGGATCTCCTCCTCAAATCCATGCTGCCGACCCAGTGCCAAACTATGGCTTCTTTTCAAATCCTCTATTTTTTCTTCAAAATGTTTTTGATTTCTAAGTTAAAAAAAAAGATCAACTTACAGTTTTATTATTACAGTTTTCCAGGGCACAGAAAATTATGAGCAAAAAGTATTGCCTACTTGATTACAAAAGAAATGTATATGAGGAATTAGGGCACTATGGAAATTGAGAGGACATTTTCAACAGAAAGAAGCAAGAATCCTCATTTTAAATGAAGTATAATACAATGAAAAACAAACTGTTAAAGTATAAAATGGGATGAAGAAATGACATTTTAACAGACATGTGTATTAATAATGTAAAGGCACTATGACTGAATGCCTGAGTGCATTCAAATCTCTGAAATCAGAGATTTTGGTTTATAGAAGGAAAATAAATTTAAAAAGATACAAAGAAAGTCACTAGCTTCATGATAGCTGATATGCAAACATGATTCAACCATAGATGACAATAAATTAGCCTACATCTTTAACATATCATATTTTTCATAAGGGAAATGTTTCCCATAATATCTAAAAGCCATAGTTACCATTAACTGATCTGTAGTTTTAATCACTGTTCCAGTTTAAAGATAAAATAGTCTGTAGTCCTCCACTTATGACTGAAATGGAACGTGCTCATTATGGTGGCAATTTGCAATGCCCATTAAAGGGAGATGGCCTCACTTAATGACACCCCCCCCCTCAATCCTGCTCTCCCTGAGGCAGTCATTAAATGGTGTCTCAGGGATAGGGGAGGCCCTGGGGAGCCATCCAGCTAGATCTAAAAAGGAGCAGACAAGCAGCAAATGGCTTTGCAAAACCAAAAACAGCCGAGCAAGGGAAAAGAGTCCAGTTACATTAAGGCCTGAGTACCACCTTCCAATGCTGAAGAGGCTTCCAAACAAGTCTAAATGCATGGCTGTGAGAAGCCCTGATGCTCTGAAACACCAGGGTGGTGGAAGCTTAGTGATCTATCCATAGGTCACTACTAGGCTTCTGATCCGATCATCTGGCAGTCAGGAGACCTAGGCTCTCCTAGGGTTTGGGGAAGCGAGCCTGATTGTTATAGTGATATATGGCCATTCTACCTCTGCTGAAACTTTTCTGAGGCAGCAATTCATAGTTGAAACAGCTTATAACAATTTATATATCAGGATGTTCTCAGCATTAGTTTCAGATCCCTTACTTGTAACCTGAACCTGTTTGCTTGAGCCGTGCCCTGTCAAGCAACAGAAAATAATTTTGTCTCATTATATTTCAAGAATTACAATAGCTGTTTAGCCATGATATGCCTCTGATAAGATGAACTGCAGCTCATGAAAACTTATGTCTTTTCATAAAAATAGTCAGAAAAGGTGCCACCAGACTCTTTCTAATTAACAGCTGCCTTATAACTATAAGCTTACAACTATAGAAATGATGTAGAAATTACATCTGATCTATGCTTAATCATGGTAACAAATCAATAGAGATATCAACATTAGAGGCAGTGAGCCTTGCGATACCACATGTTGAGCATAAACAATAGAAGAAACACTGAAGCACTATTTAGTTATCAGAAACACATGGTCTGAAATCAGTCAAGTTGATTGCTCATGCTACAATTATCGAGAGAAGAGAATCATCTAATCAAAAAAGTAGGTTTACAAGAGAGTCTTCTATCACTAGGCAGACACTACAAAGATACTTGTGACCACATAAGAAAAAATACTTAAAATGCAAATACTTGAGGTCTAATGCCTTTGCTTTAGAAATGATTTTTCTTTATAAAGCAAGATATACCTTTTCAGTTGTGGTACTTGCATTTCCCCCATTTCCTTCAAAAGCTGTTTTATGTTATCTTCAACTTCTTTTAGATCTTCCTTTCTTTTTCTTAAAGTAAGATTATCTTCTAACCATCGTTCCTGAATCTAAATTCAAATAAAATGAAAAGTGAATTATTCTATACTATTTTATCCCATTACAATCAGAAGAACATAAGTAATGGGTTTTGTTAACAAGGAACTGTTATCAGATATTCTCCAAGACTGCAACATCATGATCCCTTAAAATGATAAACAAATTTTAATTTCTTGAATTTCATGACTTAACCAGAGAAAGTTGCATGGGTAAACCAAATTAGCTTTAAAAAAAGATATGTCCACTCACAGTTTGAGAATCTGTTCAAAAATACTCTTTAAGCTTTACTTTAATCTTTTAGGTGCATATATTATTTTAGACAGTTATTTTGGTGAACAGCTAATCTACACTTAATGATCGGTTGCTTAACACCAGTTTGAAATTATGATGGCCTTGGAAATGGTTATTTATGCCCCATAAAGGACTTCTACCACAGAATGTTGCACACAGCCCTGCCCCCCCCCCCCCGTCAGATGATTGCGATCTGGCTGTTCACACCCATGTCCAATTGCCAAGTGCCCCATGGTCATGTGAGCACAACTTGCAACGTTCTCTGCCAACCTTCCCAGAAAGTTAATGGGGAAGCCAGTAGGGGAGGCTGCAAACTATTATCATCTGTAAGCAAGACTCCCTTTCATCTCTGGGAGCTGGATGAAAGAGGTCCTTGCCACAGCTGAAATTCAAGCATGCATGGAGCCCCAAATCCCTCTCTCTCAATCCCTGCAGAGAGCCCCAAAGAGGGAGGGAGAGAAAGACATCTAGCTCTGGTTCTGCCTGAACCTTGGCATCCAAAATTCAAGAATGCTTGGAGCCCCAAACCCCTTTATCCCTGCCTCTGCACACAACTCTTCAGAGGCAGAGAAATACTCCCAGTTCTATGCCTCACAAGCTAAAATCCAATCATTCACAGAGGCCAAATTTCTCTAGTCACATGGGCTTAACTACCACTTTGCTCAATGACCTGGACTCCAATCCCAATTGTAGTCATTAAGTGAATTATTGAAATATTTAGGACATCAGGTGGGAATCTATGAAATCCAATCCCACCTTAGCCTCAAAACCAACTTGGACCAGTCACTGTAACCTTGGACCAGTCACTGTTTCTCAGCTCTAGGGAAGCAAGCAATGGCAAGCCATTTTCTAAAATCTTGCCAAATAAACTACAACAAGGTACTAATCAAAAGTCAACACTGACTCAAAGGTACCTGATGTCTTAACTATTATTAATTTAACTGACACCAGAACTGAACTTTTTCCCCCCAGATGAAATCGCATTGCGCAAGAAGAATCATGTCCAGAATAGAAAGATATATGTAGAATCAAATTGCGCATTAAATCAGTAAAAAATACTTCCACCGCAGAATAAGTCTTCTTTATTCTTTACTTTCCATAGAGACTCTGAGGCATATAAGGCAGCACATAGATAAGCAAGTCTCTCTGCACAAGTGAATGTCAGCCAAATGCTTCATTCAAGTATATTTATTCAAGCAACATAAATCATTTTAAAATTTCATACTATTGTATTTAGGTTTACAGAAGCAATAAAGAATAAAGCAAGTTCCAAAGGACAGAATTAGTGTACTGATGATTGCCATTCAATAAATAGAATACAGTTTATTTTCTGAAATAACATTCAAGATTGAATGAGATTACTGGTAAATTGTACCCCCATGATAAAAGCATAGGAGGCATTTCTGCTTCATTTCAATTACTTCTTAAGTATCAGAGGATTTTATTGCAACCACTGCACAATTACATTATAAAGTCACAAGTTAAATCACTGTCACTTGTTTTATTAAACTGTATAATAATTATCAGCAAATATGATGCAATTCTAAGATATCTAAGATATCACAGTGGTTCTGGTCTATTAACATTTCAGATTAAAGTATTACTAAAATGTGGAGGAAACTATGCATTATACTATTAGATTAATGGAGGAGATAAAGGTACCTTTTGTGTATCAATATCTTGCCTAATTGTTCCCATTTCTTTATTTATCTTCTCTTTCTTTTTCTCACAATCTACTACCTGAAATGTGACTTCCTCCAGTTCAGATTCCTTTTGCTACAAATGAAAAATAAATAAACATTTTAGTGTTCAAAATTGCATGTAAAATCTTGTGATGAAACTTTCTGAAAATTATTATTATTTATTAGCTTTTTGCTAATTACCTGCTTGTATTCTTCTTTCCCTTCTTGGATATAATTCTCAATCTCTTTCATATGGTTATGGACATTTTTAACTTTTTCTTTAATATCATTTATCTGTTAAAATACATAAGAAGTATGCTTGATTCTAAGAAATATGAATATATTAATCAATAGAAAATATTGTTCAAATAATATATATTTCAAAACACTGTAGGTTCTCACTGCACCTTACCTTAATTAGAGCAGAATGTTTTGAAGAGAAACAATATGAAATTTGTAACAAGTTGCTCAGATCGTAGGAAATAAAATGTTGATTTTTCCTTATAGCTCAATTGTGATTTTTGCAAAGATTACTGTGAAGATCTACAGGTGTCTGGTTATTATTTTGTTCCCCGCCCCTTGGTAATGTTTGATAAGTGGAGGGGGAAGGGTTTTATAACATCCTTTGGGGAAGTACCATTTCAAGTGTGGATACCAGACAGCTACATAACTGTAGAACTGGCAACTTATTCTTAACTGCTTTTCTAATAATCTTTAGCACAGATAAATGTTTCCTGTTCCATAGCTATTATGCAATAGACTAATATTAAAGCTAAGCAAATCTTTTGAAACAGAAATTTTGCATTAAGTAATGAAGCAACACCTTTCTTCAAATGGTTAAGGCAGGAACTTCTTTTCTTCAATTCTAATACGTATTTGAAGGATTTCATTTCTCACCACTCTTCATTGCAAGAACTGTCTAATGATTCCTGTAGTCTGCTTTCATTTCCTTCAGAGGTTGAGGGTCTAGGGTACTTCTGCATGACAGTTGCAGTATGTTGGACCCCAAATCCCTCGCAACCTGATTTGAAACTAATCTCTTCAATTGTGATAGCTTCAAGCTGCTAAGTACAGAACCAAATAATTCTGTACAGATGCAAGAAGTTATAACAGTCTTCCTCTTTTGAAGGTAACATGCATTCTAAGCCTGTTATTATTTGTGATGTGGCAAGAACAAGACAGCATTTTTGCAACTATGCATGTTCACAATAGCTCTAACCAAGACTGTAATTATCAGTAAAGAGTCTTTTATGTTTGTGAAGAATGGAGAGAATGTAATAGCTCACTTTGGACCAGAGGCTGTGTATGGAGTAGACTGCTTCTATAAGGGAAAATTAAGGGAAGTTTTTAAAAACTTGTGAAAATGATGAGAAAGAGACCTAAGTTTTTGTTTAACTGTAAGTATAGTGTTAGGCTGATCTGAATGGTTGTCATACTTAAAAACAATAAGATGATGAAAAAATAACCAAAATACCATAAAATAATCAATAACCAAAAAATAAATTCCCTACAATAATATATAAACCAATTCAGGGCCAGCAGCCAACCTTCTCTTGTGTTATTTTGTAACTTGTATTCTTTTTGTTCAACAACTCTTCTTTTTCTTGTTGTAGTTTTCCCAAAGTTGTTTCCAAAGGAAATAACTGCTCCTTTGCTTCCTGAAAAGAAAAAGCACACAATTATCTTTTTTTTTGTTTCAGAAATCTGCTTTATACATGTAGCAGTCTTATGATTATTTGACTGAATGTATAAAGCTGAACAAAATTGAAACCAAGGCAGGAATAGCCATGATAGTTCTGATATTCACTGGTTATTTTACCTTGATCTCTCTGTTTAAAGATTGCACCTCGGTTGCTAATTCTACAGTCTGTTCTTCAAGTTGCTGTCGACGCTGCATGCTGCTGGAAATCTGAAGTTTCTCAGCTTTGAGTTCATTTACTGTGCACTTTAAATACTGGACTTGATTTTGTTGATCTTGCTTGAGTGTCTGCTTCAGTTCAATTTTGCTAGTAACTGCAAGCAAAATGAAAGGGAGTCACTTTTGAATAAACTAGGAAAGAATGCAAATAATTGGATGAAATTCGGTCTAAAATCACGATGGCAAAAATGTGCAGTAGAGTATAGTGGGCACCTGGTCTGTGACTCCTTAAAGCAGCAACTTCTTTCCCAGGATTACATGGCTGCCTTCAGCAGCTGCAGCAGAATACTAAAAAGAGTGTTAAGATTCACTCTTAACAGTTTAAGAGGTTACAGGCACAGTGAGCCCACATGTTCGCAAGCACCTTTTTGAATCTGAACCTGAATCATCAAATACAGTGCTTCAAATATGGACCAAATATATCTAGATACTTAAAGAAGAAAATATGTGTTTGCTATTAGGAGTTGCAAACACATGCAATGCTTTATTTTGGCACTCCCCAAGTCATGTTTTGGATATTAAATTCAAAGTCTGGCAACTTTGAACCAGGTCATGATTGTCCCAAAGGTGCTTTTTCAAGAGGCAACTAGACTTTCTGGTTTTTCTTTGAAGACGTTTCCCTTCTCATCCAAGAAGCTTCTTCAGCTCTGACAGGATGGTGGGGAGTGGACGGTTTGAAAGAGAGGTCAAATAGGCCATCTATGTCAAAATTGAACAGCCCTCTCTCAACAGAGGGATAGGGATAATAGACATCATCTATTTCCAGTCTACAACATAGTCTGTTCAGCAGTTCCAAGAAGGCTCGACACCCATTTGCATTAATCAGCTGACCCTGAGGACAGAGATAAACTTCCAGGTAGCCTTAATGACTCGCTAAAAATGCAAATGACCAGCTGTCTGTAAGGAGTATAAATCCTTCCATTCTCCACCATACAGTCAGAATTGAAGACGCTTCTTGGATGAGAAGTGAAATGTCTTCCAAGAAAAAGCAGAAACTGCAGTTGCCTCTTGAAATAAAAAACACATTTGAGTTAAATCCAAGTGTTGCACAGTCATAGTCAAAGGCTTTACTTGCTTATAAATATAGCATTACAGGTAGTTCTTGCTTGCCACAACTGGGATCAGCAACTCCATTACTAAGTTAAGCAAATTGTTAAGCAAGACATCCCATGACCACAACAGATTTAGGGACTCACTTCCACTGTGGCTGTTATATGAATCACCTGTGGCTGTTAAGCAAGACAGCTTATGTCCACAACTTGTGATTTTACTCCCAGCTCCCTCATTGACGCTGCTTGTCAGAAGTAGGCTATGAAGTGCACAAATGGTAATCGGATCATGATGGATATTGTGTGGGGTTGTTTGGAAAGAAATTAATAGACATACCTTCAAATTAAATTTCAGTTCTAATTATTACATTTAATTGAAACAATTTGTGCTATATCATTATACTTGTAATTAAAAATTAGGAAAAACTCCTGGATATAAAGAAACAAAGATCTGTAAGAGAGTCTCCAATATTTGAGTTAAGAAAAATGTATTTGTTAATAATATTCCTTTTTATTAGTGAAAGTAGGGATACATTTTAATTTTAGCTGTGCACTTATAACTATAAGTATTTCTATCCTACCTTTTCTTCGGGAGCTCAAGGTAACACAAATATCACTCCCTCTTCACGTTTTTAATTTAATATAGCAACTCTTAAAATAAATAGTGGATTATTTATTGGTATTTCAAATCATAAGATGGGCAGCATTTAATTTAATAAACCAATAAATATCTTTTTTGGGGGAAAATGATTCCATGATTTTATTAATTTTAAATTTTTGATTTTAAGGATTTTGCATAGGAAACACAGAGTTAAGGAATGCAGTTTTAGTTATGAAAGCATGATAACTCCTTATATGTCATCACCTGTATCCCACTGATGTTTTTTTTCCTGTTTCTCTTGGCTCACTTGCAAAAGAGTCCGGCCCAAATCCACTCCCTGGAGCCTAGCAGACTGCTGAGCAATTTTTCTTTCAATATCCTTTAGATCAATCTGGGGGGAAAAACCAGAAAGAAAATGTTGAGAATCCTGGGGTGCTTAACATAAATCGTCCTCAATGTGCAACCATTTATTCAGCAATCATTTGAAGTTACGATGGTGCTCAATGAATATTAGTTATGATTGGTTGTTAAAAGTTCTGCCACTCTATGGTCACATGATCATAATCTGGGTACTCGGCAACCAGCTTGCACTTATAACCGGTCACAGCCCCCCTCAATCATTGCCAGAAACTCAGTGGGGAAGCTGGCAGGAAAGGTTGAAAGTCCTGCCCAAAGTCTCTCCCACTTGTGCATCCTACCCCAGCCCTTCCGTATTTGTGCTGTACCGACCACTTGCACATTAAGTGCACATGAGGAATCTCAGGCTGAGGAAGGTCATGGGGGGGGGGGGGGGGAAAGGGAGAGAAATAGGCAAGG